TTTAGAATCACTCCCCAAGTAGGATTCGAACCTACGACCAGTCGGTTAACAGCCGACCGCTCTACCACTGAGCTATTGAGGAAGAAAAGGAGATTCCATTTAATCGAGTAAAATTCCTGTTCTCAATTCAAGACCACTATAGGCGGGTTCAATTCCCGTCGTTCACCCATGACCCGAATTGCTGTTTTGTTTCGATAAATTCTATAAAAAAAATCAATTAAACTTCATTTCATATAAAACCTATTTTGAATTGAATTAATCTTTCGCTTGGGGACAGTTATTTGTAATTTGAAAAGTTTTGTAAATTTTATTTTTATGGAAAGCACTCCTACGACTTCTTGTTCTAAGGTTTCCTCAATTGAAAAATAAAACCTATTTTGAATTCCAAACATTGGAATTCCATATAGTAGAATAGAAAAAAAAATGATAGTAAAATATCATAATAGACGATCCTAATTAAATATCATAATAGACGATCCTAATTAAATATCATAATAGACGTCAAATATCAAAATAGACGATCATAATCAAAAAATGATAGTAAAATATCATAGTATAAGATGTGAAGGCAAATCTACTAGTTTATTGTTTTCTATTATAGAAAAATAATAGAAAAATTATAGGAAAACAAGTTAAAAAAAAAAAATAAAGGAGAATTTTATGATTATAGGTTCTGATTTCTTTTTGAAGGTACTCAATTCTGTTGTTGTAGTCGGACTGTATTATGGATTTCTTACCACATTTTCAATAAGGTCCTCTTATTTCTTTTTTGTGCGAACTATGGTTATGGAAAAAGAACCAAATACAAATAAGAAGGTAGCAGCAACCACTGGTTTTTTTATGGACAGCTCATAAGATTCGTATCCATCTATTATGCGCCCCTTTATCTAGCTTTGGGTAGACCTCATACAATAACTGTCCTTGCTTTACCTTATCTTTTGATTCAGCTTTTCTTGAACACTGAAAAAAAAATTTTTGCTTATGGATCTAATAACCAAAATTCAATCCGTGATCTAGAGAATATCTTTGTATTCCTCAATCATCTTATTTTTCAGTTGCTTAACATTTGTATTTTACCAAGTTCAACGTTAGCCCGATTAGTAAGCATTTATCTGTTTCGCTGTAACAATAAGATGTTGTTTGTAATAAGCAGTTTTTTTGCTTGGGGAATTGGACAAATTTTAGTCATCAATTGCTTGGAATTTTTAGTAGTCTGGATACAGAAAAATTTAGTAATCTGGATACATAAAAATAATGTTATTAGAAAGTACCTAGTCAGAAATTCTATCTTTTTTATTTTACTAAATTGTAGTTTGGAAGTATAGTATGTATTCTAAGTATTCAGTCTTAGGCAGAACACCCTTACCTATTCCTACTCAGAAATTTAGTGAGGTCTCAAAAATAGAACAAAGGGAAAAGGAAAGGTTGCAAAAGGAGGAAGAAAAAGACGTAGAAAAAAAAAAGAAATCCACTGAAGAAGATCCTTCCCTTTTTTCCGAAGAAAAGGGTATTTTGGAAAAAGAATTGGACTTGAAAGTAAACGAACCGGACTTGGAAGGATCTGATTCTGAATTGGAAAATCCTTGAAAAATATGAAAATAAAGAACATATTGTGGCTCTTCTTTTTGATTATAAAAGATGGACTCGGCCATTTCGCTACATAAAAAATAATAGACTTGAACAAGCGGTAAGAAACGAAATGGCACAATATTTCTTTGACATACATAAAAGTGATGGAAAAGATAGAATATCTTTTACCCATCCGATAAGTTTATCAACGTTTTTTCAAATAATCAAAAAAAAAGATACCCCTTTTATCATTAGAAAAAGATATTTCTAATAAATTGGACAATTTTTGGGTTTCTAGAAACAAACAAAAATTAAATTCTATAAAAATTGATTTGTTAAATCGAATTAAAAATCTTGACAAACCAGTATCAGTCCCAATACTAGAAATTGAAACAACCAAAACGCGATTATGTATACACAATGATGAGACTAGAAAAGAATACTTACCAGAAGAGTATGATCCCTTGTTAAATGGGCCTTCCCGCGGAAGACTAAAAAAGATATAACGTTGATAAACGAGACTTCGATCAAAAAGTTGAGAGAGAAGGTTATGCTAAATAGACTTCATGCTTTATTGTTGATGTCTCCTTTTGAAAAAAGGAAAAAAAAACCATTACAAGTTGGTGAGTTCTCAACTTTATCATCGAGTTTCAATTTAACGGATTCAGAACAACTAACAAAATTTTTAGTAAATGTAATTGAGACAGACGATAAAAAATATTCTGCAATAGAAAAAATAGGTAAAGAAGAGATTGGTAAAAAAGTCCCCGGATGGTCATACAAATTAATAACTGAATTGGAACAAATATCGTATTTTAGAAATCCACCAGATGATCATGATATTCGTTCAAGAAAAGGGATAAGTGTATTAATTTTTGAAGAGCCTAAGGACTCTCAAAGATAAGACTACAAACAAAGATAAGAATACAAAAGAGACAAATATTCAAGCTATAAAATCCGACAATGATGAGAAAGATAAAAATATGAAAAAGAAAAAGGAAGATGAGGATAATAAGCTTTATTTGTTACGATATCCGCACCAATCTGATTTTCGCCAAGGCTTAATAAAAGACTCTATGCGAACTCAAAGACGTAAAATAGTTATTGAGGGACTTTTTAAAGCAAATGCGCATTCCCCTCTCTTTTTTGACAGGATGAGGAAAAAAACCTTTTTTTCTATACCATACCTGGCTCAACTGAAACGACTTTTTATAAAATGGTCATCCAGAAACGAGTTCGGTATTTTAGAGTCTACAGAGGAAAAAAAAACAATAATAAAAAGAGAAACCAAAAAGGAAAAGAAACGACGAGAGGAAATAGAACGGTTAGAGATAGGGGAAGCCTGGGAAACTTTCCCATATACCCAAATAATAAGAGGTTTGTTATTAATAAACCCAATCAATTCTGAGAAAAAAAATTCTATTACCTTCATTCATAATCGGGAAAAATATAGGGCGTATGCTACTATTTCAAACTCCTGAATGGTCTGAAGATTTAAAGGGATGGAATAAAGAAACGCATGTGAAGTGTACTTATAATGGTATTCCGTTAGCTGACAAAAAATTTCCGGAAAATTGGTTGACAGAAGGTATTCAAATCAAAATTTTATTTCCTTTCTGTCTAAAACCTTGGCACGAATATAAATCACTAACTTCTCGTGATGACTTTTGTTTTTTAACAGTTTGGGGAAGGGAAACAGAACACCCTTTTGGTCATCCACGACAAACACCTTCGTTTTTCGAGCCTGTTTTTAAGGAACTTTACAAATTTGTAAAAGTAAAAATCAAATTTTTAAAAAAGTTTTCAAAAAAAAAAACAAGTTCAAACGAAAAAAGAACAATACACCCGAGTTTAATAAAAAAAGAAAAGATGATCAAATAAATAACCAGATAATGAATCAACCCTTGAGTAAAATTGAAAAAATTACAGATTGGAAAAATTATTCACCGATAGACAAAATACAGGCTATTACTCATAGGACAAATACAATTAAAAAAAAACTAGAAAGAATTACGGAAGATAAGAAAAGGCTGACTCTAGAACTAGATATGAGCCCTTACAAAAAAAGTTCGAGATTAGCCTTGTCAAAAAATTTTTGTCAAATGTTAAAAATAAAAAAAAAATAGATTAAGATATAAATTTCATTATTTTATAAAATTATTGATTCAAAGAATATCTAACTATATTTTTTTATATACTATATCTATTTGCCAAATGACTGAAAAACTCTTTGTGGAATCAACAAAAATGAACTCTCTTTCAAATATAAAAACGCATAATAATAAGCGTTATAAGGAAAAGCCAGAGAATTTTGGTGATTTATCTAACTTGTCACAAGCATATGTATTGTACAAAATATCACAAAGGAGTTTTTTTGAACGTATCTAATTTGATGTCTGTTCTTCAACAAAATGGAACATCTTTCTTGATTGAAAAGAATTTCTTTATTAAAAAAAAAATAAAAGACTCATTTCATAAACAAGGAATACTTCAATCTGAAGGAATAAAAAAAGAACTTAAGCGGTCTAGAACGAGTCAATGGAAATTTTGGTTAAGAGGGAATTCTCAATACGATTTATCTCCTAATTTCTGGTCTGCCTTAAGATCACAAAAACAAAAATGGAGAAATAGGGCGAATCGCTATCGTAGGTCTAAACAAAAAGATTTACACAAAAGGAATTCCAGTAGAAAATTAAATTAAATAATTACAGGAAACAAAAGGATGCTAACTCAGTATTTAATAAAAAAAAAAAGATAATTTTAAAAAATGCTGTCAATATGATCTTTTAGCATATCAATACATTCAGTATGAAAAAAATAGTGGACCCCCTCCAGGAGCTAAACGGGAAACGATTTCTTATCATTACAAGATGTCACAAAACAACTTGTTTGCGATAACGAAAAATCTTCCTATCACTAGTTTCAGAGAAAAAATAGAAAGGGTCAATATCCCCTATACAGACAAAAATTTAGAGAGAAAATATTTAAATTTGAAAAAGATTAATTTTTCTCTTGATAAAAAAGCGGATATTGAGTCCTGGATCACGGGTAATGATAACAATACTCAAAGTACTCCAATTTTCACTTATAATTATCAATTAATTGATAGAATGGAAGAGATTGTGAAAATTGAGCAAATTTTTAAAAATGAAAAAGATCCTTTTGCTCTTTTGATTCAGACAAATACCGAAGAAAGGAATCTAGTAAATTCTAAAAATTCTTTATTGGATTGGATGGGACTGAATGAAGCAATACTCGACCGTCCATTAACGGCTGAGGAACTTTCGGTCTTCCCAGAATTTCTGTGGTTTGTTAATATATATAAAATGAAACCATGGATTATACCAAGCCAATCACTTATTTCTAATTTGAATCTCAATGATGAAATGACGAATCAAAAGATCGGTAAAATTAAGAATAAAAACAAAGATAAAAAGGATAAAAAGAAAACTGAGGGTGAAACCAAAGGTAAAACTGAGAGTAAAAAAAAAGATAAAGCCGAGGGTCAAACCAAAGGGGAAACTAAAGGTGAAACCAAAGGTGAAACCAAAGGTGAAACCAAAGGTGAAACCAAAGGGAAAACTGAAGGTGAAACCAAAGGTGAAACTGAAGGGGAAACCCAGGGGGAAACTGAAGGGGAAACTGAAGGTGAAAAGAAAAGTCAAACTGAGATAGAACTAGAGTTATTCCTGAAAAATTATTTATTTTTTCAATTTAGAGAGGATGAGGATGTTACTTTTAATCAAGGCCTTTTCCAAGATCTCCAGATCTATTGTCTCTTGCTTAGAATGCTAAATCGAAAAAAAATGATGCTATCATGGATTCAAAGGGAAAAGTTAAATTTGGGTCTAATGCCACAGATGAATCAGGAAGAGAGTATTCAAGATTCAAAAAATTCAAAAAGAAATGTTCCAGATTCAAAACAGAGTGTTCCAGATTCAAAACAGAGTGTTCCAGATTCAAAAAATTCAAAAAGAAATGTTCGAGATTCAAAACAGAGTGTTGCGGATTCAAAAGAGAGTGTTCCAGAATTTTTAAAAAGGACGGGATTTTTGGTTGACCCCCTTCCGCTGTCTATCAAACCAAACGGAGAATTTCTTATGTATCAAACCATAGTTCTTTCATTGGTTCATAAGAGTAAAGAAATTCTTAATCAAAAATACGTAAAACAACGAATAATTCGCGCTGAAGAGAACAATAATTGTGATCCGCTTCTTATTGAAAATATTTTATCATCTAGGCGTCGTAGAGAATTAAGAACTCTAATTTGTTTCAATTCAAACAAATGGAATGGCGTGGATGCAAATTCTCTAGTTTCCAACAAAAATCAAGTTTGGGAGGAAAGTAACCCTCGGCATAAGGATCCGAATAAATTGATTGAATTTTTTCTTTGGCCTAATTATCGATTGGAAGATTTAGCTTGTATGAATCGTTATTGGTTTAATACTAATAATGGGAGTCGTTTCAGTATGTTAAGGATCCATATGTATTTACCATTGAAATTTAATTGGTGGAAATTTAATTGATAGTAGTACTATCTACCCTCTAGCAGGGTAGATGGTACCAGGTTAGATGAAAAGCAATGAATGGAAATATACCTTATTTTAATTTGTATCTAACTGAATCGAGGATACCATATATTTATTTAGATCTATATAGATACTTTCTCCCTCATCCAAAGAATATTAAGTTGAAATAATTCACTTTTATTTTATTAATGAACCCGAAAAGAGAGGGTTTTCTTTTGATTTGAATTGATAGACTTAGTTAGAAGAATTCTTTTTTAGCAATAAATGTCTTTCACATCCAGTGATAACCTGTAAATCATTTTAAATGGCAGTTCCAAAAAAACGTATTTCGAAAGCCAAAAAGCGTATTCGTAAGAACATTTGGAAAAGAAAGACTATTGAGGTAAGATTAAAAGCTCTTTCATTAGCAAAATCTCTTTTAACGGGTAAGTTTACAAGTTTTTTTTACAAAAAAAATAAAAAAACATTGGATTCATTTCTGTCAAGTTGATTTCTTGTATAATATTTCTTCTTTTTTCTTATCATTTTCTTTCTTTATTTTTCGTTAGTTCGTTTTAGTTACTAATCAATTATTTCATATCTATGAAATAAATCTATAACTTAATTATAAAAAATTATTTTAAATGCATATTATATATCAATGAAGGGAGTTCATTTAGTTTATGATAAAAAACTTATCTCTTTCGACTATTTATAAAAACCAAAACCAACAAAACAGAGGTTCCGTTGAATTTCAAATATGGAATTTCACCAATAGAATACACCGGCTTACTTCCCACTTGAAATTGCATAAAAAAGACTATTTATCTCAAAAAGGTTTACGTAAAATTTTGGGGAAACGACAACGACTTTTAGCTTATTTATCAAAAAAAAATACATTGCGCTATAAAGAATTAATTGATAAATTGGAGATTAGAGAGACAAAAACTCATTCATTTTGAAGTTGTATAGCTTTTAGAACCTATTTTATACGTAAATTTTAGAACTACAGTCTGGGTACTGAAACAATTACAAAAGAATAGCTCAGGGTAGTGAATAGAAAGACATCATGTCCTTTTGTCTATTGATTCTTACTGTATAAATTTGAAGGGATTTTTTATTTAAAACTTTAAAACGGCAGATTTAGTTAATTCAAAAAAGAATCCTTTTTTACCCTATTAGGTAGTTTGCGTAGTTATAAAAAAAATGATAATATTAAAACATAAAAATTGATAATAATTTACCAAAAAACATAAAATAATTTTTTTTTTATTTTTAAAACCAATCCAGAAATCTAGTGATTAGAATTCTTCTGAAAATTCATTGAGTCATATAGTATCTAAAAACCAAGTATCTTCTAATTTTATATTGCATAAAAATAATATTTGGAGGATACTATATCGATAATTCATAAAATTTATAAATTTATTCGTTCAATGGCACATTCTGTAAAGATTTATGATACATGTATAGGATGTACTCAATGTGTTCGAGCCTGCCCCACCGATGTTTTAGAAATGATACCATGGGACGGATGTAAGGCTAAACAAATTGCTTCTGCTCCGAGAACAGAAGATTGCGTAGGCTGTAAGAGGTGTGAATCCGCTTGCCCAACAGATTTCTTGAGTGTTCGAGTTTATTTATGGCATGAAACAACTCGCAGTATGGGTCTCGCTTATTGATCTGGTCCAGAAAAGTATATTTGAATTCATTCTATTTTTATTGAAAACCCGTGCTCTAAAATAAAAATATTTCATATTTTGTAGCACGGGTTTCATAAATTTTTAGCTTTTCACGAAGTAAAAAATTAATGTCTTTTTTTTTTATTTATTCCAAAGATTCAAATATTAAAGAATAAAATCTTTTTTATGTTCGCGAAAATGAACCATAAGTATGTAGACCTAATCCAATTAAATTGACTCCAAAATAGCATATCCAAATAATAAGAAAACCTATAGATGCCACAATTGCCGAAGTAGCACCTTCAAAAGTTCTATTTCTTCGAGTATGTAAATAAATTGAAAACACTATCCAAGTAATAAAAGCCCAAGTCTCTTTTGGATCCCAACTCCAATAAGATCCCCACGCTTCGTTCGCCCACAAAGCCCCCGAAAGTATTCCTATGGTTAAAAAGATAAACCCTAAACTAATAACTCGATAACTCCAATAATCTAATTCTTTACTTAATTGAATCTTATAAAAATTGTTAGCCGAAAAAATATAATTCATTTGAAAAATATTTTCATTTTTTCTAAAGGTAATGACCATAAGTGCTACTGATAATAAGGAGCCACATATAAGAGCTGCGTAACCCACTATCATCATACTTACGTGCATTATTAACCACTGAGATTGAAGAGCGGGGACTAATATTGAATATTTCTTAATTTCTGTGAAAAGACCCGAAGTAGCAAAAGCCTGGATAGAAAAATCAATTGGGCTTATTATTGTACTTAATAATTTTGTATTTTTTTTTAAATAGGAAAGGCTATTAATAAGAGCAAAACTCCAGGAAAGAAAAAGCAAAGATTCCGATAAATCACTTAGTGGGAAATGGCCTGACGAAATCCAATGAGTAGCTAATAATCCTGTTATACATAAAAAAGTTATGAAAATGCACTTTTCTGATGAATTAGAAAGTTTTATGTTTTCATCGACGAAAAAGATTCTCAAATAAATTTTAATTAAAATTGAAACGAGTATTATTGAAAGTGAAATATTACTTAGTATATGTTCTAAGGTTGAAACTATCATAAAAATTATTAAAAAAAATAAAATAAGATTTTAACTCTGAATTAGATAAGAAAAAAAATGAAAAAGAACAAAAGATTACTCTTATTTTTTATGCCGCTACTCGGACTCGAACCGAGATGCGCTAGCACTGCTTCCTAAGAGCAGCGTGTCTACCAATTTCACCATAGCGGCATGTTATTTACTTTCACTCATATCTTTTACCCATTTATAGAATTTATCGAAACGGAAATTAGAGTGATGGGCGAACGACGGGAATTGAACCCGCGCATAGTGGATTCACAATCCACCGCCTTAATCCACTTGGCTACATCCGCCCCCAACTAAAATATGTTCTTTTCAAAAAGGAATCAATAAAGGAGCAATAACCACTTTCTTGTTCTAGACAAGAAGGCGGAATTGCTCCTTTATTCTATTTTAAATAGATTCCCTATCTATATACTAAGAGACAAAGTCTCTAGCCATTTGTAGCTATAACTTGGATAGCAGCTAGGTCTAGAGGGAAGTTGTGAGCATTACGTTCATGCATAACTTCCATACCTAGGTTAGCACGATTAATTATATCAGCCCAAGTATTAATTACCCGGCCCTGGCTATCAACTACGGATTGATTAAAATTGAACCCATTTAAATTGAATGCCATAGTGCTGATACCTAAAGCAGTGAACCAAATACCTACTACAGGCCAAGCAGCTAAAAAGAAGTGTAATGAACGAGAATTATTGAAACTAGCATATTGGAAAATTAATCGTCCAAAATAACCATGAGCGGCTACTATATTATAAGTTTCTTCCTCTTGGCCAAATCGGTAACCTTCATTAGCCGATTCATTTTCTGTGGTTTCCCTGATCAAACTAGAAGTTACCAAGGAACCATGCATAGCACTGAATAGGGAACCGCCAAATACACCAGCTACGCCTAACATATGAAATGGGTGCATAAGAATATTGTGCTCAGCCTGAAATACAATCATGAAATTGAAAGTCCCAGAGATTCCTAGGGGCATACCATCAGAAAAACTTCCCTGACCAATTGGATAGATTAAGAAAACTGCGGTAGCAGCTGCGACCGGAGCGGAGTATGCAACCGCAATCCAAGGGCGCATACCCAAACGAAAACTAAGTTCCCACTCACGCCCCATATAAGAAGCTACACCAAGTAAGAAGTGTAGAACAATTAGTTCATAAGGACCACCATTATATAACCATTCATCAATGGATGCCGCTTCCCATATTGGGTAAAAATGTAATCCTATAGCTGCAGAAGTTGGAATAATGCCACCTGAAATAATATTGTTTCCGTAAAGCAGAGATCCAGAAACAGGTTCACGAATACCATCAATATCTACTGGTGGAGCAGCAATGA